TACCACCTAGAACTGAAATTGATTGCAGTGACATTGTTACTACTTGATGTACACAAGATACGTTGACATTGCGAAGGAACAAAATATTTTTATTGTGGCACAGAAACAAACTGCTACTTATTGGTTGCCTAAGTATCTACCCTTGAGTCAATACTTGGTAGAAGCATCTTAGGCAGCAATTACAGCTGTGAGTCTTCTTGATAAGTCTCTGTCAGTTTAACACATCTGAAAAACTTGAAAAACCTTTAAGACTTGTCACAGCTTCTTAATTGGACTGAGGTCTAGGCTTGGTTTGGACCATTCTAAGACATTCAGGTTTTTGTTCTGAAACCACTCCAATGTTGCTTTGGTTATGTTTAAGGTCAATATCCTGGTGGAAGATGAAACTCAATCTCTGATCCTTTGCAAACTGAAACAAATCTTCCTTAAGAATTGCTCTGTATTTGGCAATATCCATCTTGTCCTAAATCTTTAGAACTTCCTTAGTCTGTAGGAGCTTCCCAAGTCCCAGTTGTAGGGAAATGTATCCCCACAACATGATGGTGCCACCAGCATGCCTCACCACAGGGAGAGTGTTGTCAGGACAATGTTCTCTTTTGGTCAGAAAGTTGTTTTGCTTCTATCAATCCAGATAACATTTTCCCACATGTGCTTGCCATGTGCCTTTCTGCAAACTCCAAATGGGCTTTAATATAAGTTTCAGAAATGCCTTTCTTGTTACTCTTCCTTTAAAGCCCAGCTTTGTGGAACATCTAGGCTATACTGTCTCATGGAAAATTTCTCTCATCTCAGCTACAGATCTCTCCAGCTCTTTTTGAATTACCACTGGTCTCTTGTTTGCTTCTCTGATTAATGCCTTCCTTACCCAGTTACTGAGTTTTGGTGGACTGCTTTTTCTAGACAGAACCATGGCTCAACCATATTTTCTTTCATTTTGTAATAACAGATTTTATTGTGCTCTGAGGCATGTTCATGGTTCCAAGTTTTTTTTTAATAACCCAGTACTGACTGTGTTTCTATACAACTTTATCCTGGAGTTTTGATATGTTCTTGGTCTTTATGGTGCTGTTTCTTTAGGCATGGTTTCCAACAAACTCTGGGACTTTCAAGGAAACAGATGTATTTAATCTAAAATCATGAGGCATTGGAATTGCACAAAGGCAGATTCCATTCCGTAAGTACACTGACTTCTGGAGGCACTGAGTTACACTAGAGTTTCTTTAGGCATGTCATATAAAGGGTAAATACACAACCAAGAAGTGCAAATTTGTTTTTTGGTTTACTTAACTATGCAGCAATAAACATGTTTTATACCTTCACAGTGTTGAGCACATTGTGTACATCAAGTGATTATCAATGCTGATTACACTCATTTCAACTTATGGCTGTTATGCAACAAAATATGGTAAAATCAAAGAGGAGTAAATACTTCTACAAGTCACTGTGTTCATGTGTATACATACATTTGCACCAGAAATGTGCACAAATATTTTTGTTAGTTTTGATTTTAGGTATTTCTTCTTGGTGTTTTGGAAATCCATTATTTGACTCTGAGCTGCTGGGCTGGTTGATTGAAAGGTTGCCAGTTTGAGTCTGCACAACAGGGTGAGTTCCCCTTGCTCTGTCCCAGCTCCTGCCAACCTTGTAGTTCAAAAGCATGTAAATGCAAGTAGATAAAAAGGTACCACTTCGGTGGGAAGGTAACAGCATTCTGTGCACTTCGGTGTTTAGTCATGTTGGCCACATGACCACGGAGACTTTCTGGGGACAAACGCTGGCACTCTCGGTTAGGAAACGGAGATGAGCACCGCACCCTGGAGTCAGGCATGACTGGACTTTAATGTCAAGGGGAAACCTTTACTTTTATCCAAAATATGAAGCTTTGCTTAGTCAATGCCCTAGTGCCTGCTGTCAAATTCAGATTTCATGGCTGCCTATCTTCCTGCTAGCTGTCAAAAATCAGCTTTGATCATGTCAGCTTTGATAGCAGGCACCAGAGCAGGCCAGGCTTTGCATTTCAGATAGTTGGAGTCATGCACTTGTGTACCACTGAAATACCATCACCACCAACAGCAGCAAAACAACATTAAGTTAAAAAGCTCTAATAAACTGTAGGGCACTTTGAAGGGGCTGTCATTCAAGAAATCATGAAAAGTGATGTTCAGGGCAGCAATGGAGGGAGGATGCTGCAACAAACAACCCACAGTGAAGCCCACTGTCTGTCAGGCACACTGTGCAGCTTATGAACAATGTAGGCTGCTATGTTGTGCAAATTTGCTCAATGACTTACCCCAAGTCATGGAGGGAGTGTTATTGCTAGATGAGAACTGAAACCAGGATCTTCCCAGTCCTAGTCAGACACTGTGAACACTATACCAAACTGGTTCTCAGTCTTGGACTTAGAATCCCAACACTCAATTTGTTCCAATAACTTCACTTAATCTCATTTAACATTTGCATCAAATATTTTCAAGCACTCAAATCTTTGTTTTACAATATATAGGACAGCAACCTATCCACTTTTATGGGATTTGGTGGCTGCAGAGCCCCTCTAAATATTGTGAATGTTATCTTTAAACACTTAGTTCACACAAACATTGCAAACCACCATGGCTTATTTTAAGCCCCAGCACATGTCATGCACCATCACCCACAGCCTGTTACTGGCTTATCTGACAGTTGTTTTTCCCTCAAACTGCTGTTGCCTAGGTTCAGTAGTAGTATGATGGTTGGCATATACCAGTGATTAAAACAAGTTCCCATGGCTTATTTGATCATGCAGAGTGGGCCAATGTCTGGCACTAGAATTTTAAATATATTTATATTTACATATTATAAGCCCATATATGTTTATGCATTATACAAATCATACTCACAAGCATAATTTTGAGTTACAGAGTTCAATATTTACTATGTTATATGCATTCAAAATCATACTAATACAGGATTGTTGAAAATCACTTAGAATAAATTGATTTAGAAACTATAGCTTATTTAATTTAAAGTAATATAGTTAAATAACTGGGTATACTCAATTTCTTAAAATTGAGAAATTGATGAATCCATGATCAACCATTAAACACAATAAGTAAAATCCTGATTTTCTATGCAAAAACCCAAATGGGACAACCTTTTGAAGATAAGGTTGACTCTACCCCCCAACCTATACTCAGAAAAATCTGAAAGGAGTTTGTATGCACTGCAAATAACAACTGTGTAGACACCTGAGTGGTAAGTGCACGCTGCTATATTACACACACATAAAAACCCCTTTCATATATTCCACTAGATTATGATTCTGCTCTGTATTCTCTGCAACACAGTGTATCATGAACTGTATTTGTTATTATGCTGACTGAATATTTAGATAGAGAGCCAAACAGCACCAAAACTTTGTTTTCAGATCATGAACCTCTTATCTGCCCAATAGCCAACTAGCCTTCACTACAGAAAATTGCTTGGTCTTTCAAGTTAGTTTCAGTGCCCTTACATGCTAAAGCCAAGCAGAAAAAAACAATTCACTATTTACCCACTGAATACCTATAAATCCTGATACACATTTGTTCATAGTTTATGTATACCTTTTTAGATTAATGGGGCATAAGCTAGCCATGATTAACTTCAGATCCACTGATTTCAATAGATCTATTCCCAGCATGACTAAACCAGCATTCAATTCTCTATATAGCAAGGGCTATATGGACAGACGTTTTAGGATTTCTGGTGGTTCTATTAAGTTGCAACCAGATGTATTTTGATTGTTGTAGTAGACAGTATGTTAGTATGTATACCTGTCAAGAAAACAAATGAGTAACAGAGTTGGAAAACTGAGTAATAACCCCCCTTTCTCAGGGATTTAAATCAATGGTTTAAAACTGATCCAGCCTATGAGATGCGAACATGTCAAACATATACCATAGTTTAGCAAATGATATTCGAGATCAGGAAAAACAGATAAAAGCCAAAATACATGATCCTGCCTGACTAGTATCCAACTTTGACACACACCACCCTAACGCCTCGCCCTCGCCCTCACCCTCACCCTCACCCTCACCCTCACCCGACCTCTTCAAGCACAATAATCTTGCGATTAAACTTTCAAACGAGGGACAAAGTCGGCTTGGAAGCCCCAACCCCAGCTCGACGGACCCATCCTTCCCACCACCCCTGGCGCGGAGAAAGAGACACAGGAAGACACGCTGCACTCACTCCCAGACACACTCTTCTCCACGTTGCTCAACTTTCGGGGCTTCGCCCTGGCACTTCCAAGCGAGCCACACAGCCGAGCTCCGCCACAGGGCGAACTCCGGCGAGCGAGTCCGCTCTGCCCACCCAGAGCGAGCGGGAGGGAGCCCGGAGCTTGGCGCGTTCTTCTCCGACAAGGCCAAACTCCACGCGCGCGCCTGGCACCGACGCCCCGCTTTGCCCTGCTAGGCCCGCTTTTCCCCACCACCTTAAACTCTCTCCATGACCACGGCCACCGCCTTCTTCCTGGTCGCTGCTGCCGGCCCAGCGCTACTTTCCCGCCGCCGCGATAAGCTCCTTTCCTCTCAGTTTCGCTCACGCACTTTTCGTTTAGCTGGGTTCCCCGCTTGCTTGCCTGCCTGCTTCACAGCGGCATAACTCGCCCCCGCCCTGCCTAGATGTTCCTTTTCTTCTCCCCAAGATGTTTATTTTCTTCCCCGCTCACCGAAGATGCCTTGAACGATACTGAGCGGGCAGTTCAGCCAGTCTGCCACACACGGCATCTTCTCGGTTCTTCGAGGTGTCTTCTAAGCCGAGAGGCACGCCAAGGTCTTCAGAGCCGTGTTTACACGTCGGGCAATGGCGATAGGCAAACAGGAGCCCGCGACCAGGCCGAGCTGACTCTTATCCTCACTTCACTCCTCTCTTCTCCTCCGCGCGGACTCAGGTTGGCGGGAGAGGAGATTCTCGCGGCGCCATCTTAGAGCCGGGCGGAAGAGGCAGGGCCGAACTGAGAGGGACAGAGAGAGCCGGAGACGTGGAAGTACCACAGTCATGGCTGCCTCTAAGGCTTCTGCGGCCGGCAGCATCTCCTCGGCCGCCAGCGGCACTAACTTGCTCTTTTCATCGTCAGCCACCGAATTCAATTTCACCGTCCCCTTCATTCCAGTTAGCCAAGCCCCTGCTCCTTCTCCTGCCGCCTCGGGGCCTGGCCTTCTGCCCGCCGGTAAGTGGAATAGAGGATGGGGGTGGGGTTGTTGTTTGATTCCCTCTCTCTCCCCCTCCCCTTCTCACCAGCCCCCAGGGGCTTCTGTGTGTAACCTGCTGTATCCACTGGAGTCGAAGCAAGTAAAGATGCTTTTCCTTTTGTAAATGTGCAACCCTTCTGCCCATCCTCCTCCTCCTCCTCTTCTTTTTGGGCTGGCAAATTGCAGTTATACGCGATAAGCTGAGAGAGGATAGGAGGGGTTTGAAATGCTTCCTTACGGGAAGTGCTGCTCTTGGTAGACGTGGAGGGAACTAAGTTGATTTGAAGGGGAGCTTCGTGCTGAAGGGACTCGATTTGTACTGAATTCTAATCCCACTTGTCAAACTTGCAGTATTTGACATAAGAACAGATGGAAGCAAAGAGCAAACTACATTTCTCTTACCAATTACTGTTGTTGTGAAAGATTGCTTGCTTATCCTAACCTTTATGCAGAGCTGCCATGGACTTTTTGCATTTTGTTGCTGCTTGTCCTATTCTCCCTCACCCCAGAAGCCTTATGTATATTAGCCAATTGATAATTCTAGTCCATAAAATTTATGTTAGAATTCAACTGTCCACGGATATTGGCATGGGAGTGTGGTGGGAGACATAGAAACAGCAAGGCAGAAGGGGTCTCCCAGACCATCTAGTCTGACCCTCGGCTCCAGCCGGCTCTGCTCACGACATGCCCACCATGTGCATGTCCAGTCTATCTTTGAACACCCTCACCCTCAACCACCTCCCGTGGAAGCCCATTCCACACCCTCGGGGTTCTGACTGTCAGGAAGCGCTTCCTGGCATCCAAATGGAACCTTGGCTCCCTGAGCTTTGCTCCATTGGAGCACGTCCTGCCTTCCTTTGCAGGGAAGAATAGGTCTCTACCCATCTCCATGTGACATCCCCTCACATACCTGTATGTCACCAACATATCCCCTCTGAGTCTCCTCTTCTCCAGGCTGAAGAGACCCGGTTCCCTCAGTCTCGCCTCATACGGCATCCCCTGCAAACCGGCCACCAACCTTGTGGCCCTACACTGCACTGACTCCAACCTGGCTATATCCTTTCTGTAATGAGGGGCCCAAAACTGAACACAATACTCCAGTTGCGGGCGCACTAGAGTCGTGTAGAGTGGTAGTAATACCTCTCTTGATCTAGAAGCCACACTTCTGGCTATGCAACCAAGGGTGGCGTTCGCCCTCTTGACCACCGCATCACACTGCGGACTCATGTTTAGCCTGCAGCCAACCAGCACCCCAAGGTCCCTTTCACAAGTGCTGCTCTCCAGCCACTTGTCACCTAACCTGTACTTATGACAGCTATTCCTGTGCCCCAAGTGCAAGACCTTGCACTTACTCATATTGAACGCCATCCTGTTGTCTCCTGTGCACTTCTATAGTCTGTCCAGATCCTTTTGGATCTAGAGTTGTAAGCCGCCCCGAGGCTTCGGCGAATGGGGCGGCATAAAAATGTTTTAATAAATAAATAATAAATAGAGTACCTGCCCCTCAGTTGTGGCCACTGCCCCTGTTTTAGTATTGTTTGTGAATTTGATCAGCAGACTGTTCATCCCTTCTTCCATGTCATTGATGAAAAGATTAAACAGGATCGGCCCCAGGACAGAGCCCTGGGGGACCCTGCTTGTCACTGGCCACCATTTCGATGATTCCCCACTAATGGTTACCCTCTGCTTTCGGTCGGTCAACCATGCCCTAATCCATCGGACAGTGCTTTGATGTATCCCAAATCTCCTCAGTTTCTCAACCAGGATATCATGGGGCACCTTGTCAAAGGCCTTGCTGAAATCCAGGTAAACCACATCCACTGCATCCCCTCCGTCTAGCCATCTCGAAACCTTGTTGTAGAATTCCACAAGGTTTGTCTGGCAGGACCTGTTTTTGCGGAAACTGTGTTGTGTGGCTGTCAGCCTCCCTTCCCTATCTAGCATCACTAGATCGCTCGCTATTATGAGCCTTTCCATTGTTTTTCCTGCAATGGACGTAAGACTAACCAGTCTATAATTCCCCATGTCCCTTCTACTACCCTTTTTTGAAAATTGGGACCACTGATGCCACCTTCCAGTCCTCTGGAACTTCACGTGTTCTCCATGAGGCTTCAAAAATGGAGGTCAGCGGGCGTGAGAGAACCCCTGCCAACTCTCTAAGTGTTCTCGGGTGTAACCCATTAGGGTCTGGCATCTTTGTAAACTCCAATGCCCTGAGGAGCCCCTCCACTTGTAGGGGGTGACTCTAATCTGTGCCCCTAAGTCTCTGGCCTCATCTAATCTCCCATGTGGATCTCCCCTGTCCTGCTTTGGAGAGAACACAGAGGCAAAATATCCATTTAGCATCTGTACCTGTTCCCTCGTATCAGTCACTGGATCTCCTTCCTCCTTATTTAGTGGTCCCACTACTTGTCCCCCCTTCCTCTTCCTATTTACATGCTGAAAGAAGCCCTTTTTGTTGCTCTTGATATTCTTGGGAAGTCTCAGCTCATAATCAGCCTTAGCCTTGCGAAGAATCCTTCTGCAACGGGCCTCCTCCCCCAGGTAAGATGGCAGGTGACAGGAGAACTTATTCCTGAGAATCGTCAGAATGGGACAAATCATGAAGTACTGAGAGTGGTATTTCACACTGAGAAATAGGGCATGGGAAAGTACCTCTTGGATGTTGCCTGGAGACCAATGGAAGTTGTTGATGATAGTGGATGGAAGGAAAGTAAGCTTGAGAGAGAAAATGTAGCTTCTTTGAAGAGACCAACTTGGGTGGTAGTGGTTTTATAGTAACTGTTTTATAGTAACAAGGCATTCTCTAAGTGCCACATTTTTAGGGAACATACCTAGGAGCTCTTAAAGCAGGCTCATGAAGTACATTAATTAATGTTTAATTCTATGAATTGATGTGAGGATAGCCCCTCCTACGTGTTCCATATTTCAGGTGCTTATCTGTGTTACCATTGATTGATTAGGAGAACAGATTTTGCTATGGTAAATGAATGCATGTGTGATGAGGTAAGTGTAGCTTTAGAGTAAAAAAGATCCATAATTTTCCTGCTCTGTGACATTTTTAATAAATGTGTTGTTGCATAGAGGTTAGGTATGGGGTTAATTTTCATTTGGCAATGCTTGTTGCTTTAAGCAGTTATATAATTTTGTGCACAAAGTTCTTGTATGACTGAACAAGTGCAGGGATTGGTCCTGAATATAGTCACTGTTAATGTGGACTAGGTTGTGAACTATGTTCCAAGCTGTCCTATAGTATGTATAATTGGACTGTGTTTTTTCCAGACAATTATTCTCTGTCAATGCAAATATGAAGCATGTGTGATAACAGATAAACTTTGATATCTGGTTTCTTATTTCATAAAGAAAATATGACTTCCCATCCTTCCTTTTGCAGCTTTTGTGTTACTGAGCATATGCATTCCATCCCCTGCATAAAGTAGCTTTTCTCTGTTGAATGAATTACAGGTCCCTCACTTGTCACCAATACCTAAATTACACTGAAATTCAGTCAGCTGCAAAGCTGGGTTCTTGACCAACTTGGCATTTTGTGAACCTAGCAGCAGCCCTCCTTGCCATGCTACTGATTAGAGTGAGGAGCCGACATGGTAATTGTTGTGCACTCCAGCAACATCAGCCCAGTTTTCTAGGATTAATACTCATTCCACTGCTTTGTTGTGGCGAAGGGGCTTGCGGGCTTGCGTAGCTCAATGAAGCTATGAGCTATGCCATGCAGGGCCAACCAAGATGGACAGGTCATAGCAGATTGCTCTGACAAAACGTAATCCACTGGAGAAGGAAATGGCAACCCACTCCAGTATCTTTGCCATGAAAACCCCATGGACAGTACCAAAAGGCAAAAAGATATGACACCGGAAGATGAGCCCTTCAGGTCGGAAGGTGTCTAATATGCTACTGGGGAAGAGCGGAGGGCTAGTACTAGTAGTGACAGAAAGAATGAAGCGACTGGGTCAAAGCCGAAAGGATACTCAGTTGCAGATGTATCTGGTGGTGAAAGGGGAGAGTCCGATGCTGCAAAGATCTATACTCCATAGGAACCTGGAATGTAAGATCCATGAATCAAGGCAAGCTGGATGTGGTCAAACAAGAGATGACAAGATTGAACATCGACATCTTAGGAATCAGTGAACTAAAATGGACAGGAATGGGTGAATTTAATTCAGATGACCATCAGGTATACTACTGCGGGCAAGAATCCCTCAGAAGAAATGGAGTAGCCTTCATAGTCAATAAAAGAGTAGGAAAAGCAGTACTGGGATACAATCTCCAAAATGACAGAATGATCTCAGTTTGAATCCAAGGCAAACCATTCAGCATCACAGTAGTCCAAGTCTATGCCCCAACCACTGGTGCTGGAGAGGCTGAAGTTGACTGGTTCTATGAAGGCCTATAACACCTTCTAGAATTAACACCCAAAAATGATATCCTTATCATCATGGGGGATTGGAATGCTAAAGTAGGATGCCAAAAGATAACTGGAATAACAGGCAAATTTGGCCTTGGAGTACAAAACGAAACAGAGTACAGGCAGGTAGAATTTTGTCAAGAGAATATGATGGTCATAGCAAACGCTCTTTTCCAACAATCCAAGAGACGACTCTGCACATGGACATCACCAGATGGTCAACACAGAAATCAGATTGACTATGTGCTCTGCAGCCAAAGATGGAGAAGCTCTATACAGTCAGTAAAAACTAGACCAGGAGCTGACTGTGGCTCACATCATGAGCTTCTCGTTGCAAAATTTAGGCTTAAATTGAAGAAAGTAGGGAAAAGCACTAGGCCACTCAGGTATGACCTAAATCATATCCCTGATGAATATGCAGTAGAGGTGACAAATAGATTTAAGGAATTAGATCTGATAGACAGAGTGCCTGAAGAACTATGGACGGAGGTTAGCAACATTGTACAAGAGGTAGCAACTAAAACCATCCCAAAGAAAAAGAAATGCAAGAAAGCA